TGAACCTCATCATGATCAGTATGAATCAAAGCTAGGATAACCTCCAGCTCTTAGGTTTGCACACTTTCTGTGTGTATGTATGTATATCCACTCATCTTGGATACTGTGGTCCAAACTGTGTGTAGCAGCAGTCGCCCTTGAACTTTCCCGTGACCTGCTCGTTGGTCGTGCGACCCCGTGACACCAGCACCATGTGGAAGCCAAGCCGGGCAAGCCAAATATGGGTATCGACAGGATGGTCACAAGGCCCATCAGTATCGTGCTGTGGAGATATCGAAAAAGGGTTAAGAGAAAGCACACACATATCGGAGAGCAAACTGGAAGTGGACATTCCCCAAAGAAACTCTGCATAGATATTAATTAATGTGTTAATGAATCCAGCGACTGCCTTCTTTGATAAACTTCAATGAAACTGCATTTATTGGTTCAACTTGCTTTAATCAACGGAGGGACTATCTGGCAGCAGAAAATCTGCCGCATCATCTTCCGGGTGCCCACAGCTTCGGCTTTATCTTTGTCTCCATCATCAGCTCCAGCAGCACGTGTGGTCCAAGTGGTCGTAATCTTGGTCTCCTTCTCCACCTCCTGGTTGCTGGCTTGTAATTAGCTTCAATTAATTTGCCTGCCATTTCTATTTGCCTACACACAATGTTTCTGCCGCGTCTTTTTTTTTATGCCTCGTAAAATTAAACGTCACATTTGCATAATAATTGTGGTTTTGCTGCCGTTTGCCATTTCATTGCGTGTCCATATATCACACATCATCAAAAACGCATAAAAAGAAGTATGGTCAGGAGAAAACGATCAAGTCTGAGGGTACGAATACGAGTACGAGTAGTAGTGGGGCAGACATAAACCAAACTAGTTTGGCCCCTGGCGCTTTACAAGCTTGTAATAGCAAGGCGTATGTGTAGTCTGCCCGAAATTTGTATATTCCCCCAATTATCCGCCGATGATGAATCAGCTGTGTTTTGTGACCAGAGCCAATTGTGAAATTCAACTGAAATTAAAAAAGGGAAAAAAATGCACTGTGACGATCAAGTGTTGTGTGGCGGCATATATTGTTGCACAACAAAAAAAGAATAATTTACATCTCTCTTTTTTGTTTTGCGCACAGTTTTTGCCTACATCTTGCACCATTCACTTCAGGAATAATTGTTGAACATACATATATTCCTCAGCTGGGTATCAGCTGTTCTCTCAGTCCACACACGGTCCCGATAGGCAACTATCGATATCAATCTGTGGATTCCGGTCATGTTGCGGATACACACTCCAGGAAAACGTAAACGAAACATTCCTGTCACAGTTTTTTTTATATGGAGTTTGACAGGAATTTTTCGATTCCGCAGTGCTGGATACTATGCTTAAAGCATAAGCTAAAACATGCTATAGTCCACTTTTATATATGCTAGATCTAAAATAATATTTTATATTTTGTTTCTAGTCTTTGTTATTTAGAATACATTTATAAATAAATAAATAAATAATTTTATAAAAAATTATATTATTTACAAAAAACACATATAAAACAACATGAAGACGATATCTTTTTTACTTCGACGTTATTAGTTTTTATAAGCTTGATTTCACCCCCTATGCGGCGAAAGCGATGCCTCAGCAGGCGCGGGGGTGAGCCAGTGCATTTGGGAATTTTATAGACTGCAATTTTCCACTGTAGTTGATTCATGGAATTTAATGTTGTGTTTTATTAGGTCATTCATGCGATCGATTTCATTCACAATCCCGACGTGAAAGATGATGTCATGCCGATGGCGATTCATCTGCCAATCTCTGGAGCCGAGCAAATGAGATGAGCAATGCGTTTCTCCACATTCCCATCAGCCCGGAAAAAACGGGGCAATACTGTTTCAAAAAATTTGTTGGCCCGTAAGGTCTGATCGCCTGTTAGATCTGTTTGAGTTTCCATTGCAATGGGCATTGCATATTTCATTAAATCAATCAATATCACAACCAGACACTTGAAAAAAGTGTGTAGACTGTGTAGACGGGGGTGGGTTGAAACTCGCCATCCTGGATGATGTTTCTGGGCATTAAAATTCCGCATATTCCGTATTTTAAATTTTCTCTACATTATGCCTAACAGACATGGGCATAGGAAAAGGCGCTGTTGCTGCGTTGCCGCTTACGTACACGTGTGTGTGCCGACCACTCATCTATATACATATTTATGTGGTCTAGTGGGATAAGTCAAGTCGTTCTATCCAGGGTCCCTCGGTTCAAACGCTGGGCTGGATTACCTTTTTTTTCTAAAGAAATTCTTTTTATTTGCGCCATTTTGGAATAAATGCTGCATTATGCACAGCAAAATCAAGCAAAGCGTGGTTAGGTGGGTTAAGTCGAGACCTTCCGTTCCGGGGGTCCTCGGTTCGAAGCGTGCACGGACTTTCTTTTTTTTTTCTTAAACAAATCTTTTTTCCACAGTTTTACAGTAAAAATTACATTTTAAAATTGTTTTGATTTTTTTTTTAATTTAGCTGGCATTAATTAAATATTTAACTGGTAAAAATTTAAGAAGAGCTTTTAATTGAGCTTTTAATTAAAGCTTATTTGTTGTTTTTTCCCCTATTAAATGTTGAAAAAATACCATATGAAAATACAAAAATTTTACTTTTACTTGTGTGTTTGGAATTTAAGAATTTTACAAGAATCCTACATGCTTGTACATATGTATGTATTTATACAAAAACCTTTTACATGTCATAAGCATATGAATGTATACATCAAATTTTTCAACCATCAAGGTGTAAGAATGATGGCTAGTGGCGCTGCAGGAATTTTATGTCTCCCCCTGTTGGCAAATTATGTGACGCAATATGGACAGAAGCTCGCGTTCTGCCAGCACCCGCCTTGGTCCAGTTCGGCCTTCGGATGCTGGCTCGGTGTCCTCGAACTGGATGAGCAGACGATGCAAGATCTCGGCAAGGGCTTGGCCGTTAGCATAATGTCAGCCGAGTCGTCCATGGGGCGGAAACTGCTGCTGGCCAAATTCGCCACCAATGGGAAACGCTGGGAATGCCGCAACGAATTGAGTGTCATCTTATCCAATGGTATCCTGGGCTGCTGACGCCACTGCTGCTGCTGGTCGATAATGTGCCTCGAGGGCCGATGATGATGATCTCCTTCTTACGAATGTAAACTGCAGTCGGAGAGAGAGAGATTAGTTCCTGGCAGATGCTGCTTGCCTGGCTCCTCCCCAATAAATACCAATATCATCCAGATTCAGTCCAGCCACGTCCATTTCCTTGGCAAGGAACAAATTGCTATAGCCCTCGCTTCCAATGGTGAAATTGAGCACAGGACCCATCCTCGGCCAGGTAGGACTTGAGATCATCCAGCGAGGGTATCGCGTAGTAGCCCACGCGTTGCAACACTATCCCTGTGGGATGGGCCTCATATTCTGACGCCTTATAGCGCCTCGCTGCTGCCTCAATGGCCAGTCTGCGAGAGGGCCTGCTGCTGCTCCGATGCGAAGGTATCCCGCCTGGCTATGGCGCTAGTCTGCGACTGATCCGTATCCTGCCGCTGTTGGTCTCTGCTGTCCCTGGAAGAGAACCCGGTGCTGCTCTCGGTGGGAACATCTTCCTTCGTTTCCCCAAGCATTTGCATTCCTGGGGACAGGGTTTTCCCACCCCTGTTTCAGGATGTCACTGGTTCACCTCAACAAGAAGGATCTGCTCCGAATAGAATGAAATTCCTATATTCTCTTCGCACTGCTTCTCTTCTCCTTGAACCTGATTAAATGTGTGTTCGATTTGAAAATTATTTCATTAATTAAAGCCACCGACACCTTTTCCGCTTTTCAGCTTTTACCAGCACCCAACCCACACCCAATGGCTCACATAATTATAAATTATTTTTGGCTAAAAGCTATTTGACCTCGTTTCACCTTGCCTTGCCATTGAGAACTTTATTCTGTTCCGCTCTATTTCCATTGAAGTTTTATCTCAGCTCAGACCTGTCGACAGCTAATTTATAGCATAAGGAAAAACCAACGTGATTGGTGCGAGGCGAGTATAAACGAGAAGGAACGTGTGAGTCGCTTCTGGGGACGCGACTCTACTTATACCCGTACTCAGTCAGTTATACATTTTTGAGCTTATGATTTTTTAGAATTTTAGAAAAAAAAAAAATTTTACATTTTACATTTTTTTGCTACATCTGTTATCTACATCTACATCTACAATGTATATTTTACATCTAACATGTAGATTATAGATGTACCATTCATATTCTACATCTCCTCCGCTAGGGGTTGCTCGCGCACTGAACGCGGCAGAGTGTGCGAGCGAGAACTTGAACTAATGGTCAAATGGACTGTTGTGACTGTTAAAGCTAGCAGATTAAAAACGTTTCCATTACTTTCCATTGAGCAGCACTTGGAAACGCTCCTATATGATATGGTAGACTAGAACCTTTTCGATTTGCATAAATAATTCTTCAACAGGAACAGTCGTCACACAGACCCACAGTATTCCCGCTAACTCAATTTGTACCTACTTACATGATTGCACTTTAATCATTACGGGAGCCGACGAAGATGCCGACTGCCCGGCCCTGCAGCTCGGGCACCTGCCACTCTGTCATGAAGAGGCTGACTAGCTGACAAACAAGACTAATTAATTTTCTATTTTCGTGACTTGCATGGCCAAGGAGTACCTGGTTGGAGTCCGATGGCGGGGCCACCAAAAAATTATGGCACATTATGTTGGAGTATTGAAAGTGCTAAGAGCTGCCAGCAAAGAAATAATTAAATGGCCATTTACCTCAAAGACTGAGGGATGGGAGATGTGGAGTCCGCATATGTTGTGACAACACAGGGCCTAGGGCCAGTACTACTTAGGACCAGACCACTGCACTGCCCGGCCTGCCTAATGCAGGCCTTAACTTTGACTGAAATGGAATGAAATGAATTATACGACATCCTTTTCTCGGCCGTGTGCGATATTTGTGGCATACATTAATACAAATTTAAGTTGTAAGTTTGGAAAGAGCTTTAGTTGTACACTTCATTAGATTGTTAAATATACTTAGTGGAGTGAAACATTTTATTTATTTCACCCGAACCAACAATAAAAACGAAATGTGCCGAACTGTGTTGTCGGAAGAACGAGGAGAATACATATGTAAATATGTGTATTAGATGAGAAAAAGAAGAAAAAAAGCCAAAATACAAATAAAATAATGTTATCTTTGGGGTCCGAAGTATATAAGTATATAATTTGGTTGAATGTAAAAACGCGGGACGTGTAAAATTTTGATATTGGTTTAGCATGTTAGACATACATACACATGTATGAATGTATGTATGTGTGTTATGGCGCTCCGATGCAAGCAGCTAGGAACAAAGATGGGTCTTTGCCAAGTTTACGGCATTTTTCAAAGGACTTTTGCGTTCTAAAACAATTTTCATGTTGATTCTGACCAAGAATATGTACTAAAGACATACATATGTACATATGTGCATATTTCTTCTCTATAACTCTCTAACCATGTACGTGTACTCTCATCATCTCTTTAATTCTTTTGCTATTCTTTCGACTTTGTCCGTTTATCTGAAGCTTACATTAGACTTTGGTTGCGACTCTGCCTCTCCGCGCTGTTCCTCCTCCTATTGATATTCTCCTCCTTCTTCTTTTTTTTTTCTTTGTAACCTACATAATAACAATTATTAGATAACATAATCGAGTAACTGTTCAGACAGCAGCAATATACATAAGTACATATGTACATATCTTACGTATGTATCTTATTTTTTGTACACTTTACTAACAGAATTTAATGCAAACAAACGCCACACTGCTCGTGGCACGCAAATTATCACTAAATCTTACTCTCAAATTTTATATGTAGTGTAAGGTGAGGCATTCTCAGAGCGTGCTCACACCTGTACACCGTCTCAAGAAGGGGAGTATCTATACCTCACCTTGCATTAACATACTTTGCTAGCTATTTTTATGGCAGCCGGAGAGACTCGACTAACTGAGAGCAGACTTAAAATACTAAGAGTGATCAAAGCTTTTGGTGCCAGTAGGGCCCTATACTGTTTGAGTGGCCACCTCCCGTAGACGGCTGCGGCGATAGTGGGCAAAGGCCTCCAGGCCATTAATGCTGAAAGCTGTCAGTCCGAAGAACTAAAACAGAGAGGACGAGGTTGAGTTTAGTGTCATAATCATCTTTGGAGAGCACAGTGAAAAAGTGACACCTTGCATTGGGGTATAGGGACAGGGACTTACCGCTGCGGCCGTATAGGTACCAATGTCCAGAGAGAGCACCAGCCCAGAGGCCACAAAGTAGGACACCGCCAGCGTGGAGTGGACACCGAGAGACCAGAGCGTTGCGTCGCACCGACTGCAGTAACGTTGCCACAGACGCAGGTAGCGGGCAAGCAGCAGCGCCAGTGTGGCTGTGAAGCCCATCGCCGCCACGACCAAATAGAAGCTGCCCCGAAAGTTGCTCACTCGCACCGGCCCGAACAGAATGAACAGAAAGCCGATGAAGCTGCTCAGCTTGAGAGAGATGCACAGAAAGAGAAATAGAAAAATCATTAGAGTGGGGCCAATCTGCTGGATGGAGTGGAAGTTGAGCTTACCATGCAGGCGATCTTGCAGATGCCCCCCATGCTGCGCAGATACTTGCGATCGTAGTCCTGGCTGGCAGACATAATGGACATTCCTGCAAATGCACAAAATCGGCAACGAAATAACAACTCCACTCGATAAGATTTCAACGACAGCCCCGCACAAATATTTTCACATTGCGCGCTCACGGGTAAGCACAGAACGCCACTGAACGCCACTCAGAACGATTTTGTGTGCTGGACGACGCGACGTGGGAAAAACAGCCATAACAAAAACTTAAATTTTGAGAGAGCCCAGGCCGCTCAGAGTGGGGAACCAAGAGAGAGAGAGAGAGAGAGCGTTAAGTGAGAGAACCTAGAGGCACAGTGGGCCAATCTATGGTGAAATGATAGCGAAACTCAATTTCTGGTTTTTCTACTAGATCTCCATGAACGGACGCTCATTACGATTACTGTAATTGTGTGAAATCAAAGGGATATTCAAATTAAAGCCTAGTACTCAGATGGAAAAAAACACCTAGCGAACAGAATCAGGGTTGAAATTCGTATGATGGTCAGACACATTACCTTGCCAATAAAATATTGGGAAGCCCAGGATATGCCTGGGGAAGAGCGGCCCCAGCCGAAGAAGTGCATTTTGTTAACTTTAAACAAAACCAAGCAGCGGTCTGAGCAGTGTAACCGTTCGGAATGCAGTGCACACCTCTGGTCACACCACTGGTCGCTCGAAAAATATATGACATCTGTTTGCTAGCAGTTTTTCGATCTGAGTACTAGGCTTAAGGAATAGGTCAAAATTGATATAACGAATTCATCGAAATAAGTCTGTAACTTGTATGAAATACATATATGTATAATGGTATGGTATTTATTTTGAATGTGTTGTAGCTGTTTTTGCGACACCGTGGCTGGTTTCTCTTTGGGTGATGTAAGCAGCAAGAGAATTACTCACTCAATGGAGGCGGCTATAATGGGAAAGGGAGGCCTTCCTCTGCAATGGTGCGACTACCCATAATCGTCCCACTGTACAATGACGGTTTCGCTCTGCTGAGCGATAATATCTGCATTCAACTCTATCTCTTCAATTCACATGCGGGTTCGACCTTATCAGTGAGAGACAGAGCGGGTAGTTGGGAGAGCTGCTGTCCGATCGCTATTGTGTTATCGTAGTTGTTCGTTAATTGATTGAGCAACCAACCAAGTAAATAATTCCCCGCAACGCTGTTGGTGGATCTTGTGATGTGAGGCCCCAGTGCTTATGCAAATGCGAGAATCCAAATCAAATTCACTTGCATGAATCACGCCACACGTCACGCATCATAAAAGAAAAAACAGAGAGGCACGGCATCGAAAATTTGTGTTGAGAACAGCGAACACTGAATACCCTTCTTCAAATATTCCACGAAGCCATGTGTTGGTAGTCCATTATCTATTTAATTCTAGTTCTATTACTTTGACCGCAGCTGTACATATATTTCTGTATCTACCACATGTTCAACTTCCTCGCAGTTTGTTGATAACCCTCCGGCGAAAGTAGGGCAAATCAAAACACATTCCTACGCGACATAAAATTTAGTTATATTAGTTGATTCATGTTCATGGAGAATATGGGGGAATGGGTGCACGGTTCGTCAATGGGAAGATGATGGGTTGATAGGTGGGCGGGCCGCTCATTCCATCCAAGGCCACATACAGCGGCGACAAATGGGAAGAGAAACGTCATAAATAGAAAGGGATCGGAAGACGACCCACACCCAGTACAATCCAGAGATTTCCACTGCAACCAGAGGTCTGCTGGGCGGATATAAAACCAGGCACAACAACCGACAGGAAATGACAGAAAGCAAAGTGTGAATATAAAACATAATCACAGCGAACAGCGAAAATCGAGCTGGAGGCGGTCACAAGGCGAATTATTGTTTTATACCGACTCAAACAGAATGCTCCCCCTCTCGCTAGTAAAAAGATGAAAAACATCAGCAGGCAGGCATTTCCATGGAAAGCTTGTTTCAAAGAATTCTAAAAATAAATATGAATCTTTATATTCGTTCATCGATAGAAAAAAAATCATATTAGAGAGCGTGCGTGCAGTGGGGCTGCCTGTTGTCTGATGGTGTCCACCCAAGGGAATTTAGTAACTGAAACTGTACTGAAAGTGGGAATGGGAATAGGGTGCCAAAGCAAAACTTGTTGATTACATCGGTTCCGTACTCGGTGTAATTGTACCGGGAGAGAGCTCTTTTCTTTCAATCCCTCAGCAATGTCTCCAGCGGACATCTGCGTGGAATATCTTTACCCAATTAACCTTCGATCCAATCATGAGCGCAAGTGGGTCTTGTTAAAAATCGAACAAAAATTCAAATTTGATGTTGCTAATTTGAATAATGTGTATGGAAGTTGTTTCCAGTCCATGATTCATACACATGACTGAGCTCCATGCAACTAGGAATATCTGGATACCGCTATGATTTCCCATGCATGACATCGGAGAAGGGTTCTGGGAATCTAATTAGAAAGCAGTCACCGTAATTTTCTTGTTTTCTTTGGTGAGAACCAGGAAACATGGACAGGACCATGATGATGTTTTCCCTGCGCTTAAGCAAGGACAAACTATTACATTGCTGCAGAATGGATCATCTCTTGTTCTAGCTTGGCCAAAATGGAGATCTTCTGGCTCCTTTTCTGAGGAGCTAAAGGAGTGGGCTTTCCCCTATTATATACATATGTACATATGTATATGTAAAATTCACTCGCTTGTAACCTATTTTTTTTTTGGTAATATTGACAAAACGGAAGAAAAAATTCAAATGGTTGTTCCATTGCGAAACGTTATGGAAAGGGCATTCGAACTTCGATTCCCCCTGTGGGGACCCAGGATATAATTTTTTTTCGACTTTTCCTGAGTTTTTTAAGTCAAAATTTCGTAAAAAATACCGCACAAAAATCATAATTTTTGCATTTCAATGCTTTACATTTCCCAGACGGTAAGCTGAAATCACAAAGTGTTTAGTCTCGACTTCTAACTGTTTTAATTATCTTTTCAAAATAGTAAAGTTCTCTACAACCAGACTTAGGATACTAGAGTTATGTGAAAAAAACAAGCGCTACCTCTGAAAAAAGCTTTAAAAAAAATACCAGACTTCAAAAATTCTTAAAAAAAAGTTCTGCCATAGAAAAAAACCATAATTCTTTAAAAAAATTTAAAGCCCCATATCTATCACAAAAAGTCGGTTTGGATCCTTGAGGAAAAAAAAGTTCGATTTTGTCGAGTAGTGTAATTTATGGCTTGCTACAAAATGCACTTTTGCATTTCTTTTGCATGCTCGGCTCCGAAAAGTTGTCTGCCATGAACCCAGGAAGTGTTGCTGCTGCTGGGCACCTGCTGGGCTTTCGCTCTCCGGCCAGGTATGCAATTGTTTTCGCTCAGAAACAAAAACGGGAAAATATACATTTTCAATTGAAAGCGTGCCAGTATAGATTGCGTCCAAGTCTAACATCAACTCGATCTGACGGTGCAATTCAGAGTGGCCGTAGTGGCACGTAGAATACGCCACGTAGTCAAAAAACCAAGTGGAATTTATGTTCATTCAGATGCACTCGTGGAAACTTGGCAACAACTTGGCAGCAGATTTTCCAATCGAGTTTCGAAAATTGAATGATAGATTCTGTAGATCCTTCGGACGATTCTTATGTTTTCTCAGTGCATTTAACAAAACAAAACACAACAGTAAAACCTAGGTGCTTGCTATGCAGTTTGCATGCCCTTGATTGCGGTGTGATTCTTTCGTTATTTTCAGTTATTCATGAAAAATGGAAAAACGACTGACTGATGGCACACCTCTAGAATTTGACGTGACTATGGTTCGCCCGATTTGGGACAGCATACAATTATATTAAACGAAAGATGGATAATGAAACTGTAAGATATTGGGCCTGTGCACAGCCAAAGACAATGTAATAGTATTATTGTCTTTGGCACAGCTTAAAAAACAAGTCACGCGCTATGATTGATCAGAGATGTTACAGTTGAATCATGTCTGGCTGGAGTAAGAGCCATTATTGACGTCCATCTGAGGAAACCTGGGGACTGGATTGTAAAAGTAATATTCGAGTGATTTAATCGATGTGAAGTAATGTGTGCGCTGTTCTGCTCTATCCGATCTGGCACCAAGCGACTGCAATAACTCGCACAGATTTTCTTTCAAATTACACATTAAAGATTTTCGTCCTTGCCTTTGTCATGGCCACGAAATTTAAAGTTTGTTGAGTTTTTTAATTCCATACAAAACCCCCGGATATACCCCACCCCACCCATCAGCGATGTACAGTGGGGCCTCAACCAAAGACCGAAGACCCCATTGTGCGACGACGACAGCAAAGTTTGATAGTTTTTTAATGACTAAACGTTATTGTGTCCGACATGACCATCCATTAATAATGATAATCCGCAAGGTGAGTTTCCGTTTCGATTCTTTTGGTGTCTGGCAGGTGTTCTTATGGATTGCTTTTCTCTGACAACATTTCAGTGGGGTCTGAAGAGTGGGATTGGATGTGAAGTGCATGGGTATGTGAATGGATAAGTAGAGCTGGCGGTAATCGAATGTAAATGGAAATACGAGTAAAAATGAAAATGCAACTGAAGTCAAAGGAGCTTCATCAGAGTCATTAATTTGATTTAAGTGTGATTTACTGGCGGAGAGTGGGTGTCCGCTGCTAAATTCAATGAATAATGCAACAAGAGGCGGAATCATCAATCCAACTATCCTTCAGACATCCCGCTAACATGCTCGCAGCTCTCTCTCTCACTGTATTTGTCTTCCTTTGCGCAATGCAATTACACAATGTGCTAAATTACAAGAGCAAATGTGACTTTAGAAACAGTTTTCGTCACAGAGCACATACAAAGCCACCGCATACGAGTACTATTTCCACGGCACCCAAGGCAGACATGTTGGAAGCAGCCAAGGAAACCGAAGCTCATGATTCGTCCCTCGCACTCCCACTCGTACTGAAGACTCACCACCCTCCCCAACCAACACAAACACACACACAGCAGACAGATGAAGACCACGCCCTTTGCCTGCAGGGCACGCACACTCGTCTGCATCTTTCTGCATATAGTAATCAAATTATCAGTTATGCCAACTGACAGTTTTCTCCTGCTCCCTATACCGTACCGTCCCCTCCCGTCCTGTACACCAAAGCACATGATGTTTTGTG